AACGTCACCTTGGTCCAGGATATCTATTGCTGTTGTGATCCACCCTGTGGGCGACTGGTCGTTCTGAAAGTAGATTACCAGCTTCTCTCGGACATTGGATTGTTCACCGTTTGCAAATGAGAATCGACTTGATGAAGGCTCAAAAGAAAAATCAATCTTAGATGCATTGTAGTGTCTCTTACATGCCTTCACTAGACGCATGATGGCGGTCCTTGAACCCATTGCTCTGGTACAGCCGCTGTCAATGATCACGTAGGTCGGACTGTACCTCAAGTCGATGTATTCAGAAAGCAAAGCATGGTGAAATCCATCGTCAAAGTTGACAAATGAAGAACAGAAGCGGGGATCAATCACTTCAGAACAACCGGAATGTCGGTAGTCTGTACTGCTACCGGCAGGGTTTAGGTGATACGGCTGTGAAACATGTTCTGCACCAGTCATTTCTTCTGCATATGTTCCGTAATGCCGGAAATCTGCTGACTGGTTCATCTGGCCAGGCCTTGGCTCTGAGCTATGGCGCTCTTCATCTTGCGGTCTGTCTGTCTGTCCGTCCGCAAAGTATGTCCATTGTTGCCAAGTGGCTTCATTTGCCTGCCAGACATCTTCAGGATAGTACTGATCTGTGTGATATCCGTACGAGTCCCATGACCAATTTGCTTCATGTGCACTCCAGGTTTCTTCGGCATTAGTGGATTGTTGAGCTGATGAAGGCTCTTCGGTGGTTGCAACATTAGATTGTTGAAAAGGATTCTGTTGCTTGCTTTTTCCTTTGCCCTTGAATGCATCTTTTCCCTTGAATCCTTTCTTTCCACCTTTCTTTCCTTTCTTGCCTTTTCCATAGAAACCTGAGTTGTCAGGGTACTCTGCATAATGTGCCCCTGCACCTTTGCCTCTACGGCTGACAAAGCCGGGTCTTCTGCCTTTTCCGCGGCCTTTTCCCTTGCCGCCTTTGGATGGTTTTCTGAATCTTCTTCTATGGATTCTTCTACGGGTGTATCCTCCTTTGGCTGCTAACACCCAAAATTCGGACTCTGAGAACAAACTCACAAATCCTTCTTCACCTGTTTCTTGATCCATCACCCAGTATCCGGATTCTTCTTCCAAGTCTCCTTCATCGAGGACAAGGAAAGTGGATCTTCTTTGCCTGCGGATCGAAGGGTCGGCAGTTCCTGTGGCGGTTCCGCAAAAGAGATCAAGGAATAAGCCTTTGACACCTAAGTATGTGTAGTTGTTCATGTTGATCTGATGCAAGGCCATGCTGGCTACAAACCTTTCTCTCTGCTGTTCGTTAAGATCCGACTGAACTAAGAAAATAAGTGACATCAGGTTGTCAGACAATGGAAAGGTGTCACGATGTGCTTGTTTCAAAGCATCAATGTGTTTAGAACGGATTCTTTCTGCGTTCTCTCTTCTTTCTGCGGGATCTTGAAGCCCTTGAAGTAGCATGTACTGCTGTTGCGAGAGGATATCAGTAAACTTGAAATCATCAGGCTGTGGGACAGTCGAAAGATCTAACAAGCCCATGAAGGCTTCCATGACTTTCTTGCTAGCAACTTCAAAACGAGCGATCCAGCTTACAAATTCCCCGTTTCCGCGCCAGGTCCTGAAGAGCTGCATGAAACGCCAAAGAAAAACATGATTTGCTCCTTTGACAAAGTATGGTCGCAACGTCTCTTTGAAATACGTAATACCGTTTCTTTCATGACGAAGCTGTTCATTGTCGAGCATTTTCTTGTAGTATTCGGCGTTTCCGGTTAGAGCGTTCTTCAATGATGGGCCTAATTTTTCGGCGCTTAATGTGGTGATGTTCACCCAGTCATCAATCGAATCTTCAAACTCGAACCAAGATGACTGTCCATCGAATGACGGAGGAATCTTTGGCGTCATCTTGACACCTGCTGATGGCTGTGCCTCGTACGTCCGGTATGTCGAACTCGAGGACCTTCCATGCTGTTGGCGATGACGCGAACCTTGAGCTGCAAAAGCTTCTTCTGGATCTGTTACGTCAGATAGGTCGCTGTCATGCTCTTCGTCCGTATCTATGTTAAAGATCTGGACCATGGTCTATTTGTTTGACAAGTGACTGACTTGGTTGTCCCCTGTCCGGAATATCGGACGATTCGGCACAAAGGCAAAATCGACCAATGCGAAGCAGGAGACACAAGCTCCGCTACCACTTTGAGGGGTAAGTTCGCCCAGAAGTGGCAGTTGGAATAACTGGACCTGATCGAAACACCAAGCAGTCAAACACAAGCGGTCGGTGTGCGAGCTGCGGCGAAGCACACCCTTTTCTATGGCAGTGAATGCAGTATTGGGCTGCTGAGTCTTGAGCCAAATGAATTATGTCGAAAGCGGACTGAAGAGCTACAGATAGATGTATGTACAAGAATAGGTGCTACACACGTATAGCGTAGACACGCCCAAAAAAACCTAGGACCCTACTAAACACAGGGGGGGGGTCGAATCAATTGGTTTAACAATTATTTCTCGAGGGGGGGGGGGGGGGTGGGGGTGTTAGACATTGACCTACCAATCTTTAGTCCCGAGCAAGCTCTCAAGCCAGTCCCTTTGCTTCGCAAAGCAAACTCAAGGTAGTCCTTACCAGGCTACCTTTCGTGATTATTCCACCCCTCTGTCCAAGCTTGTCTCATCAGTTACGGCCACAATTGTGGAGGCAATTGCAACCAATTGTACTCAAGAACTCGTTGCAGCAACGTGGGAAAAGTATGTATTATCCAGGTCCAAACCTGTTGGCAGGAATCTGGAGGATCTTCTCTAGCACGAATTTAGGAATGCAGTTTCCAGGACATCTTAAGCACATCTGTGTCATTTGGAGGTGCCACATGCCACCTCCCGGCCGCCTTCAAAGTCATCTGGTTTCACGGTCTCACCCGCACACAGGGCACATGCAACGCACCTAAATCTGGATAACATGTGACATAGAGTTAGTTCGGTAAGTAGCCCTCCTGACCAGAAAGGGAGAAACCTTTGAAGGAGGAGGAGCAAAGGGAGGCTGGAGATGCACGAGGCGGAGCAAAGTCCAAATGATCCAGAGTTCAAGCAGGATGCCATCCCAAGTAGTTGCCAATGCATAAATGGGACAAGGAGCAGGCAATAATGCAACCGCAAGATACACTCTTGAGCTTGTTTGAGAAGGCCCTGAGGGGCGTGAATTGTGCTGGAGCGGAATCACATAGCTCCTATAGCCTGTAGCTTTTGGCTGGGGGAGGGATGTGCTTTTTCGCTTGAAACGAAAATGCATATTCTGGATCATGTGATGAGGACGTTGGTATGCTGGCAGTGAGAAATTACTCAAACTGTTGAATTGAGTCTTGTTTGCCTTTCATGGACCTAGTGATGCAAATGATGCAAGTACACATGGGGTGATCATGAGTGAGAAAAATAAGTTGAAATAGTAGACATTGATGAGACATACAATGCAGTGGATTAAACAGAAAAAATAAATATTGGAAATAACAAATTGTAGGCATTGTTGGACATAAGTTGGACCCCCTTTAAAAAAGACAATTTCAAGTGGATCGCAAAATGGAGTAATAGACTTCAATTCAATCGAATACGGTGGGGTACGGTACACCGGTACACTAGTATAGCACAATGCGAGAAAAACAACTGATGCGGACGGTTGTAGGTGTAGATATACAGGTCTAAGTGCTCCCATGTCCATGTTCCCCTCCAAATCTTCTCTTTTGTGCATCCAGTGCTCAAGTGACCCGAGAGATGAACCAAGGACTGCACAGGACATGTGCCAATGTCATAAATAAAGCCACATCCGCCAATGCCTTAGAGCAAGGCAAAGATTTCTCTACTATATAAGGTCTGACAAAACTCAATGTTGCTGCTAGCGGCTAACTTCTGGCCAATGCGAAAGCTAGAGTGGAGGCCATGCTCGGCCAGTTGGCTAAACTGCTACTTGGAATGGCTTGCTCCGCCGTGACTTCTGCCCACTAACCAGCTTTACTGCACAGAATGACAGAGTTGCGTTGCGGCCCCATATTCAGAATGTCAGGTGCATCCACTTCTATGTGAGGAACGCAAGGAACTAGCTTCTTGAGAATCTTTGGTGGAGTGGAGTTTGACAAGTGTTGTTAACTGTGGACTCCCTATGTTCTGCTTAAAGACTTGAAGAAGGCACTGAGAAGGAAAATCATGCACAATGTGATGGCAAAGCGAAAGAGAAAGAAGAGTCCTGCATCTCTGCCTGCGCGGTCTTATTCGAGCAAAAAGTGCCTCAGGCTTTTCGCCCATCTCCTCCTCAGCAAGATGCCGTGTTTGAGCTTTTACGCTGCTGGCGCTTGCCCCCAGGACTCAAGCAAGAAGCAAGCAAGCAAGCAAGCCAGCCAGCAAGCAAGCAATCAAGTAAGGGTGATAGAATCACAATGCATACTGGCCTCATGGTCACCCTTCCCTGCACCAAGGTCAAAGGAGGAAAATAGCTCTCTTAAGCTGAGTCCACAAATCTGTCTCATAGGCTCTGGATCCCATTTGGCCTGGCTCCACTTTCTTCTTCTTTCCTTCGCAAACCAGAAAGATCTTACCTTCAGGACCCGATCTGCAACAACTTTAGATTGTTATTATATACATGTGCTGCTCAAGCTCTGTCCTGCTCTCTCTCCATCACCTTAGTTGCTGTTCTGGTCACCACGGTCTGTCTTCAACATGGTCACCAGTCGAGCCAGAAAGTCTTGACTCAAGTTTGACGTCTGCTGCTTGAAAACATGTCTTGCGAATACTTGCGACAAATCATGGTGCTTGTGTCCAATGCAAAAAATGTACCTGGGTGCAGCTGAGTCACTAGTCATCTCACATGCATCACATTGGACGGATGTTTTCAAGGCTACTGCTGTGAAAGCCAACAAACGGGTTAGCATAACTCGCATGAGCAGCGTAGAACAAAAGCGGGGCTTGAATCCGTTCAGCCCATTCCACCAATGTGACTTGCTTCATCTTTGCAGAAATCAAGAGTGCAACACCGGTTCACGTCAGCTGAAGAGTAGCCCAAACCGTTTACAACAAAGTCTCCATCTTGGATGGGAGAAAAAGACACTCGTGGGGCACGCCAATAGCCCCATCGAGAACATGTCGGATTCCAACCTTGGGTGAGCAGCACTACACGACTTAAGGTTTTCACAAATGCTTGCAGCAAGAGGTTTGGTTGCATTCAGCTTCACACCCACATTTTGCTGGAAAGCCACACATTTCAGGCGCTGCATACCTCTTTCTCTGCTTCACACAAGCCGACACAAAGCAGCAGCACAAACCGTCGCAAGGACCTTGGTGATGGCTCGTAAGAGAGATTTCCAGGTGCCTGAACGATACACAACACCTTGCAAAGCAAGCTTGCAAGGCATGCGAACAACATCTGTTCGACCTCCTGCCCTGAAAATGCAAAAGGACAGTCCATCATCTGTCCCCATTGTACCTTAGCAAATGTTTCAAGCTCAGTTTGCTTGCGAACAGACCGTGGAAGCAAAGAAGAGGCGCAAGCTCCGCTGAACGAAAAGCCTAAACCGCCCAGTAGCCACTTCCCCTGTAAAAGAGGAAGCAAATTCAGACTTCGATGTTTGTGCGCATTCTTCTGGCCGCCTGTGGATCTATGAAAATGCTGTACGGAGAAAAGCCCAAATGGGCAGTCTTGGCATCCTCAGTCACGAGAGTTAAGAAAGAAAAAACTAATTTAAAAAATGAGAAGACTTCAGCAAAACTCCCAAGCTGAGGAACCGAAAAGACTCAGTCTGTTGAATGTGGAATGTGGCAAATGGCACGGTTCGGCGACAAAAGCAAGGGCTGCCTCATGAAGAAACTGCATTGCCTCCGCAACATCCAAAAGGCCACACCTAGGAGGTGATGCAGTCGCACTGGCGACACGTCATAATAATGCAATTTATCAACAAAGCAAAGAAGTTAAATTCAGATCTGCAAAGTAAGCAAAATGAGATTTGAGATTTGTACCTGCATTTCTTGTAGAAGTGTGCTTCCAAAAAGCTTTGCGGTTTTACTTTTGTTTGTTCTTGGGCTGGAAGTAGCTAAGATGCGCACTTCATTTCCAAATTTGACAGTTCATGCCTGTTGTTTTCCAATAGCTGAGCAACTGTCCCTCAGTGGATAAAATCACAAACAACCGAAGGATCTCATGATCAAACGATGTAAAATTGACATGCTGCTTGCATACTGAGAATAGATTCAGCAGGGAGTGCTTCAACTTGGGTCGAGTTTGAGCCGCACTCTCAAGTGATGTTTTTTGAAAACTGAACAGTGGTGCTTTTGAGCAACTGCATTGTGTCATAATTATGGTGTGACATGACATACTTGACAAACTATGAACAAGAGCTCATGAATCGAAGGAATCAAAGCCCTGAACCCACCACTGGTTTGGTTGCAAATGCCAATGTGCTTCTCTCCTCCACGAGAGCCTGCGGTATATCTGTAGGATGGCAGGGTTAAGCAACAATCAAGCCACCATCTCTCATCTTGAGTTCATGATATTTCTGAAGACTGTGGTTGATGGGTCTGCTGGTGAAGGTTTCAACAAAGAAGGTCCATCCAAAATCTAGTTCTGGATGTTAAACTATACCAGTACAGTCAGTCAGTAGTGCTAATGCAAAAAGAAAAAGGAACTACCACTGCACATTCTGAATCTGGAAAGGTTTGAGCGTCATCAGGAGGCACCATGACACATGTACACTCAGGCCTCAATCACACTCAGTATGTGCGGATGACGAAGTCGTTGTAGGCTCATTGCATCCTTGTTCCCACAGCGGCTAGTAACGCATGAAACAGGTGAGCACTTGCTGTATGCCACCCTCGGAGTCAAAAAATTTGGAGAGTGCCCCACATCTGAAGAGCGAGCATCAAACAGTATTCGCGAAGAACAAAACGAATCAAGCTTTGCAACCCAACAGCAAGTAGCAACTCAAGTGACTCGGGTTGTTCAAACATTCCAACTATGTGTTGCTAAAGCTCCCAAACCGAACCCAAATCCCATTGCTAACTGCAAAGGGAGCTGGGAGGGAGCAAGAAGGAGAGCAGTTCCAAGGTTCAAGGGTTCCGAGACAGCATTCCGAACATAGAGGCTTCCAAGATGGCAGCACCCAAGTGTCCAACGTTTACATGACCTGACAGCACCCACGGTCCCAAGGAAGGGGTCCAACACAACAGCACACAGGGTTGCACGGAGGAGTTCCGGATCTTGGGCGGGTGACAAGCTGCGCACCCCTCCCAGCCCCAGAGAATGAAAATTGAAACCCAACTGCATTCTGCTGTTGGGAACAAGCTGCAAAAACCAAGATGCAAACAAACCAACACCAGCCAGGTTCCAAGGTGGGACACTAAGCACTGCCACCAAAATCGTAGTCATACAATATCTCCAATATGTTTGTTGTTGCCCTGCCCTGCAAACGCAGCACACAAGGATGGAATTCCGCTTCAAGCACTCCCAGTCCAAACGGCGCACACAGCACCCACAATTCCATGATGGAATTCCGGTGTTCGAGCCTTGTAGACAACCACTCCCAGCCCAGGTTCCAGACAGCCCCACGGTTCCAGGATGGAATTCCGCTTTTGGAGCGCCGTGGACAACCTGTGCACTGCTCCCGGCCCCAGAGATTGAAACCCAACTGCATTCTGCTGTTGGGAAATCCTGCAAAGCTCCCAGGGGCTTTTTGATGCTTTTGAAGATGTGTGTGGAAGCGGAGCTTGCATGCCAGGTTTGGAAACTGGTGGGTGTTGACCGTGTCTCGACGTAGACTTTGGAAACTGGCAGAAAGAAGTCTGGAAGTGGGCTTTGCAATCGCAGCTTCAACAAAGCAGCAAAGCAAATTGACAGCATCCTGTAAGACTACGCACCTTTTCTCCGAGTCAAAGGGGCTGCAGGTCAACTCTATGATGCAAGTTATGTCATGCGCAAAATAGTTCGCACTCCTTCTTGGCATAGTGATACGCTAATATGCTTCTTTGAGCTCACTTTGCCACCATTCTACGCTGCTTCCATCTCACTCTTCTCTTTCTCTCTGCAAGCTGTCTACTCTCTCAGGAACTGGATTCCAGGAGATTGGTGATCTCTCTGCGGGTGGTCTATCTGGAAAGTTTCTCTTCGTGACTGCACATTCCAGCATTTCCTTATACTTTTCCATCTCTTTCTCTACCATATCTGCTGCTTCATGATGTCCTTTACTCATGAGGTTCCAGTGTCTCTCATGGAGTTGCCCTAGCTTTGCTTCAAATCGACCACGCCGTTGGCGCACCGCTCTGCGATATATTGTTCTCTGACGGACATTTCTCTGTTACCTATCTTGAACATCTTGTTCAATCGTCCTTCTGATGGCGTTGCCCCATCTGTGCTTTCAACATCACTCTATGACTCTATGTCAGCGATACTGTTTTGTTTGCTTGCATATCTTCCAAGCTCCTTCTGGCTAAGAAGTTTCCTGCCTTCGACTCTTGTAGCACATCATTGGCAAAGACTGTTGGAACATCTGGTGTTTCATGTTCAGTAAAGCCTCCATTGAGAATCAATCCACAATGAATTCTCCTGGCATAGTTGTGTAATCGGTCAATTTTCTCCTCATCACGCTCTACCTTACTAACATCTCTCTCAACATCTGACGCTAGTTTCACTTTCTGTGATCCTGAACTCTATACCATCTGTCTTCCATTCAATGTACTGCCAATTGTCATTGTAGCGTCTTCTGTATGACCCCATAGCTCATCGCTATTCCTTTCAAGTTTCAGTTCGAGGCGCTTGAAGAGCCTGTAGATCACAAAGATCAATGTTGCAAAACCAACAATGTTGAACACAATAAGCATGACAATCAATAATGTCCATTCTTCGTTTTATTTCTTCACGGCGTCCAATTCACATTGCGTATTGCGTTCTTTCAAGAATGCTTCTGTATCCATTGGCTGCAAGCCCTCCAACGCTACCATTCTCACAAGCACCTTTGCAATCTTGGTGACCTTTCCTGCAAAATGCTTCTTCTCATCAAACACCCTTCTCTCATACTCTCCAACTCTCGCTTACACTTGGTCTTCACTGTGCCAGTAACCAATAAGATTCAACAAGTATCTGATTCTTTGTCCTCCAAGTGGCTTTGCGTTGAGGTCTGCCATGTTGCTTTCTGCTGGTACTTGTACCATCTTGAAGTCTTTCCTGTTCTGAATCCATAACAGCCTTCCATCCAAGCGTCTCACAAGCTGCCTGGCACTTTATGAATCTGTGTAGATGTAGTGATCCACCTTTGTCCCAAGAGCTGCGCGAATATAGATTCCATCTGACGCTGAGCAAACTATTGCATGTAGTTCTGCTTCACGTGAAGATGGGCTGATGATCTTCTCTGTTCTGCTGCTGTTGAACAATGGACAACTGTTCAATGCGTGGAATCCTCCTGACGTCGACCTTCTGTGGCTTTGGTTTCCACTCCAGTCTGACTCTAAGAATGCCTCCAAGCGCCAATAGCTTTCCCCTTTCTTGACACAGCCTTCTCCGGCCTGTGCAAATTCAAGCGCTAGACAATAGTCCATCGTCTTCTTCAGAAATCCTAAGAACTTATTCAAGTGATGAAATGGCAGATGGATTTGCCATTCTTGAAGGCCTTCACTGTGAATGCTACATCATACCTCTTTTGACATAGGTAGATACCTGGTCCAACAATGCTTCTGAAAAGGCTAATCTTCTCCTGCTCTAGTGCTGATTTGTCTTCCATCTGGATTGAGTTGTCTGCTGGTAGTTGTTGAAGTTTGACAGGTCCAATCTGATCTTCATAGGCTTTCAGCATCTGCTGAATGTAGTTGCCTGGTTGGACCCACAATCCATCAACTTCCAGTTTGCACTTTCACCTCAGAAAGCTGAATTCATCACCAATTCTCTCAATCTTGCTCACACTGGTGTCACATTTGACTTGAACCTTTGAGAAAAGATGCCGTTGGTGTGCTTTGAGTCTCCTCTGAAATCAAGTCATCCACATGGGTCAACATGATACTCTTCTCATTTCTTCCTAGGCGTGGACACTCAGCACTGAACAGTCTGTGAAAAGTCAAACCACGCTTTTGCTCCAACTCTTTTCCCAAGTAGATTTCTCTTCACCAAGATCCTGTTGGACTTGTAGAAATGCGTCCTTCACATCAAGACATCCTAGTATCTGTGAGAATGCTCCTTCTCCCTCTCTTGCTTCTTCCTCTTCACTGGCCCTTTGCAAGAAAATTGTGGGTAGAAGCTTCAGTGCACGCCCTGGAGTCGCTGGTGAGAAAATGTCATTTCTCTTTCCTTCATGGATCGCTTGGCCCTCCACGCAGGCCCAGAGAATGCTTGAGGAGGAAAGCCCAACGAAGAAACTCAGGCTATCAGGTGGTTCAAGCAAGAAAGCCAAGATCAACATGGTGAAAGTTGGAGGAGAAGATCTTCACCATGTAGATGAAGAGTTATCCCCAGTTGCAGAATAAGTTGGAGACGAAGAGTGGGATGAAGAAGAAGAAGACTCAGAATTGGAAGACCAGTGGACCTGATGAAGAAGATCCAGGAGAATGGATTGATAGGGTAGCTGATGAGGTGGAGGAGAAAAGACTTCAGACGATGCAAATGTTATAACAGAAACCAGAAGGGAGCACAAGAGGTATCAGTTGCTTGACAACAAGAAATTTGTATGACCGGAGGAAGAAACCATATCAGCTTGGAGATGGAATTTCAGCTAAGAGGTGGAAGAGAGTACGGCGTTGAGATCACTACATGGCGCGCTGACGGTGATCTCAATGAAGGTAGTGTAGGAGAAAGACTTTCTCATCGGTGGGAAGAACTTTCTGCTTCTTGTTTGGTGTCTCTTCTCCACTTGGCTTCCTTTCACCTCCATCTCTTTTCATTGCATCAACAGGGATTTCCAGCGGGGCTGTTTCTGAATCACTTCCTCCTTCCAGTGCCTTGGCCATGACTGCTTCCGCATAATCGTCCCTGAACTTCAGCATCACACTTTCCCGGGGAATGTCTGTTGGCGCTGCTGGTAATGCTTCTGCTCTCCTCTTTCTGGCAATGATCCTGCCTCCAAAGTTGGTTTGATAGGACCAATCTTGATCTGTTCTTCTGATGCATTTGCTGAGCACTACCT